AACTTCAAAATCTTGCCATATGAGCAACAATTGAAGGAACTGAAAATACTTAGTGAAGAAGTAAAGATTTATGAAGAATATGACATCAGTCTTCACATACAGGGTCTGGCACAAATAACACCCAGTTTTTATTACAAAATCTCTTATTACAAAATCATAAGCATGTAATTCTGTAACATAACAATTTTACACTCAAGCACAGCATATGACATCTCAGGTGAAATCTTCAAATTAAAACTATAAATTATTACACCCATATTATTACCCTACAAACCATACTCAAGCAGGCGTTACTTCTGCCAGCCCCTGTATTTCACAGGAAATCAAGTAGAAGATGGATGAAACTCATTCTGCTGGGTTTCCCCTCTTTTGCATTGACCTCCTACAGTCCATTTTCACACATTTAGATCAGGTCATATCACTCTCCAGCCTAATACCCTCCAGTGCCTTCTCACCACACTAGGAAGAGGACCCAGGTGTCTTGCTATGACCTGTGAGATCTTTCATAATCTGGCCCTTGCCTTCCTTTCCAAATCCATCTCCTGTGGGTCTTCCTTCATCTACCCTTCTGGCCACACTGGCCATCTTCTTGCTGTTCCTTGAATATACAGCCTATCTCTACCTCAGGGCCTTTGAACCTGCTGCTTTCTTTGTTTTTATTTTTAATTTTTTTTCCTATATGTTCTATATGCTCTTTGTTCCCCCCCATTCCTTCTGTTGCTCAGTCTTAAGTCAAAGGTCATTTCCTAAGAACTCTCCCCCTGATTAGTTTCTACCTCAATGCCATTTTATGTTCTCGGTAGCACTCTTTGCTCCCTGAAATGGTTTTGTATCTCTCTTTATTATGTGATTCTGTTTCTTGATTATGTCTTTCACAAAGAATGTAAGCCTCACATGAACAGAGATGTATCTGTCCCATTCACCACCATAACCTCAGCATGTGCTGTGGTTTGGGCACATAGGAGGTGGTTAATAACTAATTGTTAAGAGGAAAAATGAATGACCACAAGCTTAAGAAGTAGCTCTAGAGCTAATGGGTGGACAATTCATAGAGCAGATTTTTGAAGCTGTAGTCTGAAGGCTCAGAGCCTTGCCATGGAGACAACTGCCACTTAGCAGAGGACCTACAAGACAGTGGGAACATGGGGTTTGGAATCAGACAAACCAGGGTTTAAGTCTTGGCTCTGCTGCTTCCTGGCTGGCCACAGGCCTTAAAAAGGTCCTTTAGCCTTCAAAAACCTTAGCTCCCTTATCTGTAAAGACAGGAGCATGAGTACAAGCCACCTCATGGATTCTAGGTTGATTAAAGTTAAGCGCTGGACATATAACAAGTGCTAAATAGGTGTTTGCTCTACAGCTTGGAGGTTTAATTTCCACTGCTCCAGAGATTAGAGGTCCTGTCTCCATTGCCAGCATGAGGCCTCTCTGGCCACAGGAGCTGGGACTAACCTAAGGAAGGGCTGCTACAAAACCTCTTTTGAGCAACCACTTGGCATTTCTTTTCGCACTCATTAACTGCCCTCCTGGGGAAAAATAAGCAGAAGTGCCCTGGGTTCAGGGAGTGGGCGCTGGTGGGGAGGCGGGACATGAGTGATCATTCTGACTGTTACTTCTCAACTTCCTGCCTCTGACACAACCCAGAGCTGACCTCCTGGGGTTGGAGCCCATGAGGAAATGGGTGATCACTGTTTCTTCGCATGATTTATAGCAGTCATAAAATTGATAATATCACACACAATACTTAAATCTGCACTATTGTGTGAAGTGGAGTGTGTTTGTGATGGGAGAGGAAGAGGAATCATTGAAGTTGGTGAGGAGCAGCTGTGCAATGGGGTGGGTAGAGGCGGGAGGGAGAGTCCCATGTGTGGAACACCTTCCTCAGTCTCTGGTTAACTCTCAGGTTGTGGGTTTATGGATCTTGACCCTGAAAAGTGCTAGTCACAGTCATCCCACAAGATGCAGGGGACATGATTGCATAATAGGCAAATATGGACAGAGGCTATCCATTCCCATGTCCTTTTTTGATGAAAAGAGAACTTGCTTTCTTCTGCCACCCTCAGGGATATGGAGCCCACCACTTACAAGGCAACCATCACCTTAAGAATAGGCCACTTCAGATGAAAATAATAGTTGACACTATCCATATAATAAAGGTAACTCTTACACAGCATGAGTTTACTGCAGGATGGGCATGGTCTTAAACACTTTACCTGCATTGCCTGTATAATCTCATGAGGTAGCTACAATCTTTAGCACAAATTCACAGGTAAGTGACATGTTGCTCAGCAAGGTTGGTATCTTGCACAAATTTACACAGCTAGTAAAGGGCAAGGCCAGGACTCCAACCCAGATCTTCTAGGTCTAGAGTCTGCACATTTGACCACCATGAGAAGTGGCCTATTCTTAAGGTGATGATTGCCTTGTAGGTGGTGGGCTCCATATCCTTGTGGGTGGCAGACAATAATCACTGAGCTAGACAGAGCTCTCTCCCATGTATTTAGTGTGTCCTCCGTGTCTGGGTCAGAGGTGAGCACTCTGCAACATCATTTCACATCATGTTCATGCCACCTCTGCCACCTAGAAAAATCATCTCATTTTGCAGACAAGCAAAACTGGAATTAGAATGCATAATGACTGAGGTCTCCAGGCTGGTGAGGGCTAAACTGGGAATCCAGCAGACCTTCCCAACCCAAATCCGGAGCTCTTCCCTTTTACCAGGGGTGGTTTCCAAGGGATTAAACTTCAGGAGGGCTGAGTTGGACTAGTCAACTGGCTGACATGAGATCCCTAGGGACTAAATATCAGATACATAATGGCCTAAACTCTTGAACAAAGCTGCTATAACTAGTCATTAAGCCAAAAATGTTAGTCATCACCTTTCAAATTTTATATTTAGGGAAATATTTCTCTTCCAAGTCTCCTCCATGCCCCAACACTTTGCAGTGTTTCTCTTGAAAAGCTTCCCAAGGAGCAAAGAATTAAGTGGACCCTTGACATATCTGCTTTCCTTGTGGTGGTATCAATGTCCTCTTGGACTACAAAGCAATAGTAACCTTCTTTCCTGTTGGTACCACTATCTGCCCTCATCCAGGGTTCCCATCTGACAATCCAGTCCAGCATCAGTACACCAACCAGGTCTCTGCCATTGACCCCAGGGGTGAGTTTTCAGGTCTGTCTTGCTGACCTTGTCTGCAGCATTTGGCATAAAGATCAGCCCTGGCCCTTGATTAACATTTTTACTTGGCTCCTGAATGCTATACCTCTTGGCTTTCAGCTGACTCCTCCTTTCCTTGGCAATTTGTTCCATCCAGTCTCATGGCTCCAACCACTGTTCATCAGTGAGGTTTTCCAATTTATATTTCTAGTGTGGACTTCTCTGATTTTGGACTCACAAATCTGAGTGCCTTCTTGCTATTCCCTTGGATGTCTAATAGGCATTACAAATTTAGTGTATCCCATAATTAATTCCTAATCTTCAACTCTGCCCCTAATATACTCCCCTCCAAGTTTTCCTAGTCGAGGGCCACTCCACCTTTCCAGGTACTCAGGCTCCAACCTTTAGTATCATCCTGAACTGTCCTTACTCGCATCTCACCTGTCAACAAATCTCTCTGCTCTATCTTCAAGCCAGAATCCAGCAAATGGTCACCATTTTCCCTGCTATCTCCCTGGATTACCATCACTCAGCAACCTCAAGAGCATCTGCCTTCTCTCTTTGGTCTAATTTAAGACAGAAGCCTGAGTATGAAGATAAGGGGCAGATCATACCTCTCTTCTATTGCAGACTCTGCAATTGTTTCCTCCCAGTGGAAGTCAAGCATCACTGGGCCCTCCAGGCTTTACCCCTACCACCTCCATTTCCCCCAGGAGCCCTATCTCCTCTATTTCACCTCCTGGCCAACTCTGGTCCATCTCCACTGGTCTCCAAGCCATTCCTCAAACATGCCACACACATTTTCACTGCAGGGCCTGTGTATGTCACAGCTTTTCTCTCTGTGGGAAACACTCTTCCCTTCTCCACTGGCTCCTGCCTCACATCCTTCAGCTCTTTGCTCAAATGTCACTTTCTCAGTGAAGTTTTCCCTGACTCCTCTATTTAAAACTTTCCTAACATTCCCTATTTTATTTTTCTTTATAGCACTTATGGTTTATCTAACATATTAATCTATTATTTGTTTAATTTTTCTTGTCTCTGTTAAAATGTAAGGTCAAAGTAGGCAGTTACCAGTTTTGTTCAGGCTCTATCCCTAGTGCCAGTGCCTGGCACGCAGTAGGTGCTCAGAAATGTTGTTTCATGAATCAGTGTATGAACTGCCTTAGTACAGCATCATTGTGGCTACAAAGTATGGTCAGGATGTGGGCTACCAAGCCTCTGGCTTCAGTGTATCCTGGAGACACTTTCCAGCATCTACCACTGTTTTGTCTGTAAAACACAGGTAGTGGAAACTCAAGTCCCCCAAAGCTCTCGAATTATAGGAATCTTTAGAAGAGCATTGAACTAAGGACCCAAACATGGGCCTTCACCTGTGTGAAGGACAGCTTGAATCCTCTTCTCCTGAGGTTTGCCAGAAGAACCGTTGACAGGACAAGCAGGGGCAGACAGAGGGCGGGGAGCAGGGACGAGGTGGGGGAGGGAACCTTAGCAGTCTGAGCCACTGGTGTGACCAGCTGTGCTACACTGAGCACTTTACGTAACCCTCTGAACTTCCGTTTTATGGCAGGTCCTTGCAGGGACTGAAACTGATAATGCAGGTGGCTCAGAAAATGCTCCACAAAGCCATTGGCCGTCCTTAGGCGGGAGTCTGGTGGAGCAGCAGAGAAGGAAGTGGAGGTGGTTGCGGAGGCAGAGGCGGGTGGGCATAGCAGAGCAAATGGAGGAAGGGAGATGAGACCAGTATCTGGACGTCTGTGGGACTGTGGGGGATGGAGCGGACTCTGCACCAGTTGGGGCGGGGCCGGGCACGGAGGTGTTCCAGGGGCGGGGCTGTGACCCGGCACCCTTAGGCGTCCCGGGGCTCTATAAGACTGGGAGAGCTGTCTAGGGCTAGTTACGCTCAGATCCGTGCAGACACTCAGCAGCCACATTTCCGCTGTGTGCCAGCGCGTCCTCGCCAGCACCAGTCCCCTACAGCGCAGCAACCCGGCCCCAGCATGACCGACCAGGCGGCCTTCGACACGAATATCGTCACCCTGACCCGCTTTGTCATGGAGGAGGGCAGGAAGGCCCGCGGCACGGGCGAGATGACCCAGCTGCTCAACTCGCTCTGCACCGCGGTCAAAGCCATCTCCACAGCTGTGCGCAAGGCGGGCATCGCAAACCTGTGAGTCAGGCCTCAGGCCGCTGGGCCGCATCCCGTCTGTCTGCCCAGCTGGGGATGTGCCCGACAGTCTGATGTCTGGTCCTCAGGCCCTCCTGCTGTCAGTCTGTCTGTCTGTCCTCTCCTCTCCAGAGGTTTGTACTCGAACCCTGGTTCCCCATTCCCCCTCTCTTGATCTTGGAGGTGTCCACCTGGGGGCCTGCCACCCCATCCACACCTGCCTTCATCCTACATCCATCCCTCTCACAGGGGCTGAGCAGCCTGCCTTGCTTGGCACCACTGTCAGTGTCCTTTGGTGAAAGTGGGTGGCTGCTGGGCACCTGGCCTGCTGGCCATACCCATCCTAGCCTCATACAGTAAAGTGCTGGCTCGGTACTTTCCTCTTTGTCTTCTTTGATCTCTTTTACTTCTTATGGAATTGGGGTCTCAAGTCCAGTTTCTAATCCAGTATCTCCTTAAGCCTAAAGAAGTGCTGTTAGGAGGCCCCATGGAAGCCCCAGGCAGGCTGAGAGGAAGCCTGCAGCCCAGAGCTCTCTGGAACAGCAGTGCTGTGTGCAGATGGTGAAGTAGGCCCCATTGGGGCCTGAGAGTCTGCATTTCTAAGAAATTCTTATATGGTGTTCATGTTACCATGTTGTTGATCTGAAGATGACTTTGTGTATAGCAAAGGAATCACAGAACATGGGAATTCAAAGGGCACCTTCTTGTGAGGCTTCTGTAAGTAACACAAATACTCTTTGTTTTATTCTGGTGTGCATGATTATTTTATATTTATCTGGTCCTTACTTAGCTGAATTTTCAGATTGTCCCCCTCCTTCCTAACATTTCACACACTCAGGGACAGTATAAAATTTGTGTGTGATGTTCAGAGATGATCTGAGAAAGTATAACCCCTGCAACCTGGCTTCCTTTTCTGGTGATGTGTTTGGCTCTGGTCCCACAACATGGATTGCTGGCTCTTAAGAAAGGAGTGTATGGTCACCCTTATTTTCAGATGTCAAGCAGGGATGGGCCTGGCTGGGAGAGGGACTGGATCAGGAATATTAGGAAGGTCCTCTTAATAATACATTTTAAAGGAAGCATATTCAGTTAAAATCTCACTTCAAATTTAATTTTCAAACAGTAGAGGTAGATTCATAGATTAACCTGTCTTTGAGAACAAGGGGCCTTTAAAACAAAAGAGTGCCTGTCATTTCCTACATTATTTTAAAGGTGTGTCTCTACCTTTTACAACCCCAAAGAAACTTGGAAATGCAAGATCTGCTTTGAGTTGTATATTTCACACCTTTTAAGAAACTTCAAATAGTGGGACCAGGACAAAGAGTACTAATTTTGGCTGTATGAAACATGTATATATTTTTAGACTAAATAGTGGTGAATAGCAGGTTTAAAAAATATTGTTGTTGTTATCATTATAAACTACTTAATAAGAGTCACTCATTGACAAAAATTCAAACCACTCAAAAGAACCACTAAGGGAAAGGTGAAACTCACCTCTATCCATTCTCTGGGGTGTCCTCCACTAATAATTTACTGGTTATTTTCTTAGATACTTATTTATACTCATACAAGTTTATAGATGAATATATTTACATGTGTCGATATGTAAGAAGCAAACAAAATGGGATCACAGCATATGCTTCTGTAGTTTGCTTTCATCATTCAACAATATATAATGACCATTCTTCAATGTCAGGACATATAAATCCACCTCCTTTGTTTTAACTGTTGCCTAGTATTCCATTGCATGGGTATACCACAAGTTGTTTTATTCTCCCCCTGTGTTAGCATATTTCACAGATGTGTGACTATTTCAAAGAGTGTTGTATTCATGGAACATGGATTGATGCTGGTCATGTGGGCAGTTGACATGTAGGACCAGAACTGAGAAGAGTTTGCTGTCTCAGTATGATATGTAGTCAGGAAGGCAGCAGTTAGACAAGATCTCAAGTCAGGGCTCCAAATTATATTCATTATTGGCTTTGATGTCCTGGATGAAAAGGCTAGCGCGCCTGCTGATAGCTTTTTAGTATGAAGACCTGCCCTAGAAGGACGTGTGTCCAGAATGACAAGATGATTGCTGGTTTGCAGGAACCTCACAGGAACCAGTTTTTGGAGCTCAGCCATGATGTCTCATCAGGGAGACTTCAGAAGTTTCAGCAAAGAGCCTGCTGGAGTGCTTGTTCTCTCTCTCTCCTCTCTCTCTCTCTCTGTCAACCAATAGTTAATCTTTAGCTACTTTTCTTGTTCTTAATAAGATATTCATAGAATTATAGAGTTTTTAAACTGAAAGCCTGGGAAGTCACATGGTCCCACCCCTCTTTGTACAGACAAGGATCCCAAGGCCAAGGAAGACAAGGTGACCTGGCCTTTGGCCCAGGTTGGGCTCTTCTCACCAAACCACACATCTGTTCCTTTACTTTTTAGAAATCAGTTAAAGCTGACCCATCTCTAAGTCTCATCTATTAATTACATTTTTGATGTGAATTAAGATTTGTATCACAAGAAGCCATCTCCTTAGAGCCAACCTGCACTTGAAGCCTGTGTCTGCTTCTGGCCTCCACCCACTGTCAGCATAGATGAGGGACAACCAGTCTTTTGTTCTCTCATGAGACCAGTCAGCACTCTGCAGGGGGACCTGATGAGTTCATGCTTCAAATTCCAGTGTTCCCCCATTTTTCTGTTTCCATTCCTTTAGACAAAAGTGGTCCTCCAGTGGCTTAGGCTTTTGCTTTAGGCATGTTCAGTTGTCTTTCCTTTGTGCGTGTTTCCAAATCACTGTTTGAAGAATTCACTCATTTTATGCAATTCAACAAAATGTTATTGAACACCCACAATATACAAAGCTCCAAAAGAGCCTGAGAGATGAGAACGACACAGAGCTTATACTGTAGAAAAAATAAAAGTATAGAATTATTTATAAAACACAATAGAGATTCTGAAAGATGCTTTCAAAGAGGTGCCAAAAACATGACATGGATATAAAGGATCCTGGAGCATCAGGTGGGCATCTCTCACAGACAGGAACAGATGGTCATAAGGCCTGAGGGCTGGAGAGCATTTCAGGCTGGACCATTATATGAGGAAAGGTACCAGGTGGGAAAATGTTTCTGGAAAAGTTGCTCATTCAGTTTGACTGAAGCACAGTGTACATGTGGCAGGGTGTGGTTGTGGATGTGTCATTGTGGATGCATTTGGGAACATCAAATGGCAAGGGTGAATGCTTTATATTTTGTGGGTGTGCAAAGGGGAAAGAGTAAAGGTTTTTGAGTAGGGCAGTGCCAAGATTACAGATCAATCTGGGGAAGATATGGCTAGAAGTATAAAGTTGGACAAGGGAAAGCTAAGATATGGGGAAGAGCAGATGATGGGGATTCTGCATGTGGAACAGTCACAGGAAAACCAGTCTGTCTTTGAACGGGGTGGGGGGCGGGTTAGGAAGAGGTGCTGGCCCAGGAGTCCCAAGAACTAGAGCTGGCTTTGCAGGGTCCTCCTCTTGCCTTATTTCAGAGCTCTCTGAAAAGGGGGAGAGCAAGAAAAGTTCAACCAGATCTAGAGCATAAGTAGGAGGAGGGGGAGGTCCTGGGAGAAGTCTGAGTGTGGATTGGGCGAGCAGGGCAGCTTGGAGAAGAGTGGGTCCCAGCAAGTGACAGCAGGGTCCTGCCTTTGAAAACAGAACTAAACAAAAACAGAATTCCAAAGGAGGAGCTGGTTTTTGAGGCAGGGAATGGTGAGAGGATGATTCTGACATTTTGGAAACATTGAACTTTAGGTGTTAAAAGACTACCCAGTTGGAAATGCGGCCCATGCAGTAGTTGGATGTACCAGTTTGGAATTTGGGCATGAAGCACTGACTAAAGATTTGGCCACTAAGTTTTGGTTCATTCTGCCCCTGAGGTAGAAAGAGGAGAAAACCAGGACTAGATGAAGAAGAACAGGAACATGCAGGGCTTAAGAACAAATTTCAGAGAATTATGGAACTGGGCTCAGATTCCTGGCTCTGCCATTTTTTGTAAGGATTTGAGAAATTGATGTACATCTCTAAGACCTATTTCCTCACTTGTGAGATGGAGACAGCTGTCTTTTTCAACCTCAGAGACTTCTGTGAGGATGAACTGAGTTCATTAAATGGGTACTAATATCATCATTTCTTTCTAGGCTGAAGATTATTATTTTTTTATAAACTAGTATCTTTTTACTTTACTTAGTTTACTTTGCTTACTTTACTTTACTTTACTTTACTTTACTTTTCATTCCTTAGTAGTTGCCCACATCATATAGAGCAGGCATGTATTTCAAGCTAGACCATTATATATTAAAACAATGTTGCACCCTCAGATAGGTTGCAGGAAATATCCTCCCATCATGCTCATGTGGTGTCCAGAACAGTTGCTTTTATATATGTGGCCATCTCTGTATAGATGGAAGAAAAAAATAAGTAACATCAGTTCTAATTTTGGAATTATAGGTCAGTTAATACATGCTTCAGGTAATCTTCAAATTTTCAGAGTTTATGGCATTAAACTTTCATAAACTATCCAATTTATATTGTGTATCTTGAATTAGCTTCTCGACATTTCCAAAGACTGAATTGTAACTTCCTTTTCATACCAGAAACACAGCCAACCACACTCCATCATATTTGCCCATTTTGGCTGGCATAAACTCAAGTGAAGGCTGGGGATTGTGACCTTTAAAAGCTGCTCTAGTTGGTGCCTCTCCAATGTATTTCTGATTTGACCCTTGGACGTTCCCGGCTGGGTGACCAGTTGGTTGGTCATTTACCTTGGAATCAATTAGTAACAAGTCAGTGTCACCTTGGACTTAAGTGATAAGGATTAAATCATAGTCTGCCTCCCTTTTTCTTTGGTTGAGTATTCTGAAAATGAGCTTTTCCACTTATTCCTTTTATGTACTATCTGAAGTGCCACCTGCTGTCATGGCTGTCATGTTGACATCAGGAGGAAATGATCTTATGTTAGCAAATCAAGGAAGTTATTGAG